TCCCAAGTGCTGGGATTAAAGGCGTGCACCACCATGCCCAGCAAAGTATTTATTTTTATGTGAAAATTTTTATGTTGATGAAACTACTGGTAAGTAAATAATTTTTATTAATTTAGGAATTCCAGTCCTTACCATGTGACATGTGCGACTGGCATATTTATCACTTTGTTTTATAAGCTGTCACTCTTGTGATCATAGAATATGCATTATTTGAAAAGTTCTTTGCAATATTCTTTTTTGGTCTTTTTGAGACAGGGTCTCCTTGTAGCCCCAGCTGTCCAGGAACTCACTATGTAGACCAGGCTGGCCTCGAACTCACAAAGATCCACCTGTCTCTGCCTCCCAAGTGCTGGGGTTAAAGGTGTGTGTTACCACGCCCAGCATCTTTGCAATATTTATGCTTTTCTTTCTTATTAGAACTTGGGAAAGATTTTGTATACACTCATGCTATTGACTTCACAGCATAGGACAAAATTAGTAAAACTGTTTTTGGAATGACGAATTCATGTGAGAAAATGAGAAAAATAGAAAAAGAACGCAAAGATGAAAAACTAGGACAGAGCCGGGCCTGCAACCAGTGAAAGCCAGCACTTGTTGAGCTATTTGTAGACATTAGGCAGCTGAAGGTTATGTTGCAGAGGATAACATAGCCTGGGTCTAGGCAGGACCAGAGCTGCAGCCTGGCCTGTCTGCATATATTCCTGGAAGACAGAGATGGGAGTCATTGTCAGGCAACCAAAATAGTCTTCTCTGATGACTGTGAGTCACATCACATATGAAATTTGACAGCTCACATGTGGAGGCAACAGATGGTGACTGTGGAAATAGTGTGTCTGACAGCTAGGTGTGGGTGGTTAATTAGCTGAAGTCAACACATGATTAAATAAGTGTGTTAGTAGAGGTAACATCTTTATCCTCTTTGATCAAAAACAGTTTTGCATCTTGGGAGTTAAATTTTTCATTAAAAATCTAATGCACAATAGAACATATATCTTATGTTAGATATGATGATGTTTCTGCCTTTTGATGCCAATATGTGTCCTGGACGATATTGAAGCAGACCTAGATACTGTATTGTTATCAGTGCTGTGGTTTGAGCATGTTTCCCAAGGGTTCATGTTCTAGGAGCTTAGTCCAAGTGCAGTCATAAGGTGTTGAAACCATTCAGCAGAGCCCAGCAGAGACAATCAAGTAACCAGACATTGCTCCAGGACCAGATTAGTGTATGAAGAATCCCAGTTAGTTCCCATGAGAGTGGGGCAATAAAAGCAGAGTCACCCACCTCCTCCTTCCCTCCCTCCCTCCTTTCTTCCCTCCTGCTCTCCCTCCCTCCCTCCCTTCTTGCTTCTTCTCTCCCTCCTGCTCCTTTTTTTTTCTTTATTCAGCTCCAAGGATGGAACCCAGGGCCTCAGGTATGTGGGGCAAGCACTAGGATACTGAGCCATACCCACAGCTCAGTTTCCTTTCTACTTCCTCACTGTCTTGTGATAGAGCCAGATCCTAACCTGGACCAGTTAGGGTTGTCCAAACTTTTCACGTGTAAAACTGAGCTAATAATTTCCTTTACAAAGTACTTATTTGGGGGTATTTTATCATAGCAACAGAAAACAGATCAAGACAATTTTTTTTCTGATGCAGGGTCTCACTATGCAGCCCTAGCTGACCTAGCATTACAGTCTGTTAAGTGAAAGAAACCAGTACCAGAGAGTGCAGCCTGAATGTGAAGTCTAAGTTAGAAGTCATTCCGGGGACAGATGGCATTGGATGAAAAGGAGTATCAGGAAATGCTCTGGGGTGCTGGAAAGATCCTGATTTGAGTGGTTCTCCTGATTTGAGTGATTTTTATAGGCCCAAACATTCCCTTTTCATTTTATGTATTCATAAAGATGTATGTATTCATGAAGACGAAGGGCAGATTCTTGCACAGAGGGGAAGCTGTGTTGTTTTCGACATGTAGTGGTTTAAGTGGAATACATCCCATTTACGACTTTACCCTTGTTCTCCATCAAGCCCTGTCTGGGTTTTCCACCAATCAATTCTGCAATATCCCCAACCCAAACAGTTTCAACTCCATTGAGCACAATGGGGTAGGCATGGAGAACACTGTATCTCAACTCCTACCTTTGGGATTAAGCTGCCTCAAACAGAATAAGTGAACTATGGCCAAAAACAAGCAATCAGGTTCACTTCTGAAGCCCTTCCATTCTGAGGGCTGAGAGTGCCAAAGTCTTCAGGTACAACAGATATGGCCCAGGAGGGATGTGATTGTGAGTCAGCTCTCGGAGTTCCAAAATTGAGGGGACAGCATAGCTGCTGAGGGCAGGGTCCAGCACAGGCATGGGTAGCAGCTGTGAGAACCTCTCAGCACGAAGTCCTCCTCCCCATCGTGATTCAACTCTTTTGGTGATTGGTGCCTCCAACCACATTAGTTCTGAGCCCTGAGGTTCTGGGAAACTACTGGGCATGAAATGCAAGATGGGCCTAATGCTCAGCCAAAGCTCAAAGGCTTTGGATCCCTCTTTCCCACATACAGGTCAAGGCCTGTATTTCAGTTCACTGAAATGCAAGGTTGTCACAGCTTTGTGTGCAAGTCCAATACCCACCTCAGAAAAGTTTTAAAAATCAGGAATGGATGTTGCATTTTTATTTAATGCCTTCTTGATGTTTATTAAAGTATCACCTTATTTTAAAATCTGGTCCTGATTTCTGTACCTGGGACAATATATATGACATACCAAATGCTTTTTAAAAATTGTTTAGAAATTGTTTGCGGGGCTGGAGAGATGGCTCAGTGGTTAAGAATACTGACTGTTCATGCAGAAGACTGGGTTCAAATCCCAGCACCCACATGGCAGCTAACAACTGTCTGTAACTCCAGTCCCAGGGGATATGACAGCCTCTTCTGACCTCTGCAGGCATTGCACAACACAGGTGCACTTACCTACATGCAGGCAATACACATATACACACAAAATTAAAAAAAAAAAAGTTTGCCTGCCTGTTGATTCACCACATGCATGCAATGCCTACAAAGAGCAGAAGAGGGTGTAAGATACCCTAGAACTGAATTATAGTTGTTAGCCACCTTGTGAGTGCTGGGATCCAAACCTGGGTCCTCTGCAAGAGCAGCCAGTGCTCTTAGCTGATGAGAGCTTGCTCCAGCTCCAAAAATGTTTGTTTGACTAAATGAACTCTTGTCCTTCCCTCAATTTTTCTAAACCATCTAAGTTCTAAACCCTGTTCATTTATGTCAATACTAGGTTCCTATCAGAACACTTCCTTCTTCAATGGATCATACCGAATACCATGTAACCCAAGGGCCCTCAGCAGCGTTTGACACCATCAACCTGGGACAAGGGTCTTCTCTTGCTTATTCTTCCCAGTTAGTTCCGCTCCTTATTTGCTACCTATATGGCATTTAAACCATTTACTCCCCAATTAGGGAGAGCAGTGACCTTGGCCTAGTCATGTATTCACAGAACCAGCTTCGGAGCCTAACACAGAGGTGGCTCTCTGGGAATGAGAGGACTTCTTACATGTACCAGATATAAATGACAGTTTTAAAAATTAGAGCTAGCTTATATCTACAGCATGCTATAGTTTGGATGTTGAACGTTCACTAAAGGCCCAAGTGTTAAAGACCTGGTTCTCCAGGTGGCACTATTTGGAGGTGGTGAAAACTTTGTTGGGCAGCCAAATGTCAAGTCCTTAAACCACTGGGGAGTGCTGTGGGACCTATCCACTTCTTCCTGGACACGTTGTGAGCAATTTGCTCTACTTAGGAGCTCTAATCATTGGCACCCAAATGACCACTGGGGCAAAGAGCATTAGGCACATATGATCAAGGAACAGAGACACCAACACAACCTTTCCCTCTTCATAATTATCTTATATGTTTCAAGACAATGTTGGAAAGCTAACACAGCATTAAAAGAAAACAAAATGAAACAAAATAAAAAACGCGCGTATGGGGGTGGTGGTGTCACATGTTCAGAATCCTAAGACTCAGGAGGCTGATGCAGAGGATCCAGAGCCTGAGGGTAGCTGGGGCTATGTAGAGAACCTGTGTCAAAACAAAACAACAAAATACTTTAGATAAGTTTGAAAAACAAAAATCCACTAAAAAATGATTGGCAAATTGGGCAGCCCTCAAAACCAGAACTGGTTCTAAGAAAACCTGAGCTGCATTAAGGTCAAGAAGAATTTACAGAAAAATGTAAATAAGGTAAAATGAACAGCTTAATTGGCTACAGTTCATTTAGATAAACTGGCTCAGCTGCTGTGAACCCTGGACATTCTGCTATGCGTTTATGACGTCCCAATAAGTTTCATTCAGCAGCGATGGGCTTGGTCTCTAGTCCCAAGTTCGGAACCTGGTGAGGGCCTGCAGGATGGCTGAACGGGTACAGGCGCTTGCCGCCTAGCCCGACGACTTCAGTTCGATCCCCAGACTCCCTCAAGTTGTGCTCTGAGTCGCACATGCACTCATATACACAAATACACGTGTATATAATAATTTTCTTTTAAAGCAAATCCTAGTCGAAAGCAATGGTCTCTGACGAATTCACCACCAGAAAGGCTGAAGACAGTACCGACTCCCTCTGCCACCAGCGTTCCCTGTGGCTAGTACGCGCCCTCTCCGCCTCCACCTCCCAAACATCCCCTAGTTTCGAGCGCTCCAGCGCTCGGGCGTGGGCGACCCCCTCCACCGTCCGGATATCTCTGACTCTCTTTTTCGCAATGCCCTGGGGAAGCGAGAATAACCGGCCGCCTCTGGGAGGACGAGAGGACATACGCCTCGAGTGGTCAGAGCGGTACGGGACGCGGGACTGCAAGGACCATGGGCCGCAGACCACTGCTGTCCGCCACCGACGCAGACGGGCCGCCTGAGCCTTGGCCCGAAGCCGAGCAGCCGAAGCCACCCGAGGAGGAGCGGGCCGAGCCCAAGCGGGGCCGCGAGGGGGCGGGACCGGGGGCGTGGCTGCGGTCTTCGCCCGCTTGCCGCGTGAAGGGAGCGCGGCGCTCTAGCTCAGCGGACCGCCGGCAGGACGGCGGCGGTTGTTGCGCCCGGTACTGGGGTTGCGGCCTGAGGCGCAGGCGCCGTGGACTCAGCCCGCGTCAGGGTGAGGCTCGCTGTGGACTCGCCATGGCGACGGAGCAGAGGCCTTTCCACCTGGTGGTGTTCGGCGCGTCTGGCTTCACAGGCCAGTTCGTGACAGAGGAGGTGGCCCGGGAGCAGGCGGCCGGGGAGCTCAGCCCCGGTCTGCCCTGGGCCGTGGCGGGCCGCTCCAGGGAGAAGCTGCAACAAGTGCTGGAGAAGGCTGCCCAGAAGCTGGGTAACGCGGCGGGGTGGAACGGGCAGGGCGGCCCGGCGCGGCGGGGTTCGCAGGTCCCCCGGGGGGCGGCTCCGGAGGGCGCAAGGCTCGGGAGGGGAGGGCGTCTCCCCGAGGGTCGCGGCCAGCTTCCCCCGCGGTTTGGGGATCCCCACTGTGTGAAAGAGTCGAGAACTTCGGTCCATCTCGGTCTACATCCGGCATATTGGATGGGCTTGGAGGGATCTTGGTACTGTTGGTCGGAAAGGGAAATGAGATGTGGAGTTCATGTAGGTCAGTTGTACTCGCCTTTGGCTTTGTGTTTGGGGACAGAAAAGAGAGTTTGTAGTGCATTTATTTATTTATTGACCTATTGGTGCTGTGGATTGAATCCAGGACTGTATGTACTGAGCATACATTGCACTCGAGTTAACCTTCCAGCCCGTTATTTTTTAATGGTTATGAGACTCCTTCAGTAGTCGTTTTGTTTTGAATTGTTTGAGGCAGTGTGGGCCGGCCTGAAACCAGGGATCCTCTGCCCCATCTTCCTAGATACTGAGATACCAGGCTTGTGCTACCCTACCCGGCTTCTGGAGTCAGATTCTTCATAAAAAGTCTTTTTTTTTTTTCTTCTCCCTTTTCTGATTTGAATGTTTACTTCTGTCAGCATCTACTCAACATATATTTATTTGTTCAATGATATTGAATGGTCTTTTCCATGCTAGGCCTAGGCCCTGTGTGCTATGTGTGTGTGGGGGCGTGGGGAGCAGCAGAGAGACGCCTCAGACCCTACCTTTCCGACTGGGGGAAGCACCTAGCTTCGAAATCTAGTCTTGAAGTTTGACAAATCTCCACCTTAGACAAATCACACATGCTCGGCACTGTTTCTGGCCCTTTAATCCTGCAGTTCCACACACAGCCTGCTTAGAGTGGGAATACAGAATCTTTTGTTTGCAGTTATGCATGGGTAGCATGCAAGCTGACTGTCGTAACGCTGAGTCAGTGCTACCATTGCCAACACACAGAATCTTGACAAGACTTTTATTTTTCCAGAAAACATAATGTCATTATTAAAATACATTCATCCATTTCTTTTTTCTTCTCAGTGAGAGACTCTAGTTAAAGCCTTGTTACTTACCGTTTGCCCTTGTTACTTACCATTTGTATCACCAAAATTGTTACCATGGGAATTATACCTTGATCAGTGGAGACTTGCATTCATTGCTGTATTGGGTCAGTTAATTCCAGTTATTTCTTTATAAGCTTGGGTGGTGTTATATAGTCTGGACTACTTAAACATGAATTCACTTCAGAGCTCTCTTCTGTTCTCGTGGTGGGGGTATTGACAGTATCCTCCTATTCCCTGTATTTGGATTATATGTAATTATGTAATAGCTGGTGTGAAACTGTTTTTGTAATAGAAGTTTCTTAGTGGCAAGGAAATCAGAACAATCATCTACTCAGCATCTAAACTAGTTTTCATGTTACACAAAGTTGTAAAAGATTAGTAGTAAGTTTTTAGTAGCCTTTAGTATTAATTCCATTTTCCTCATTTTCCTCTTTATTCCCTGATTGAAAGCTGTTATATCTCTAGTTTGTGAGTTTTCAGTATTTTAGTACCTTTAGGAAATTTGCTGTCACTGGTTACAATAAAAAGAAGATCCAGAAGCACTAATGTTGTACTAGGATTTGCTTTAAATACTTTTTTTTTAATTTTAGGAAGACCAACACTATCATCTGAGGTCGGAATAATAATTTGTGATATCAGTAATCCAGCCTCACTTGATGAAATGGCTACAAAGACGACACTTGTCCTCAACTGCGTAGGACCTGTAAGTAATCAACCCTTCTTTGTATCAGAACAAACGATCTGTTCATTTCTAGCAAAAGCTGGTGTTTTATATTCAGGGGAGCATAAGGGCAGAGAACAGAAGATTTGGATGAAGGCCTCAATCCCATATAGGGAGACTTTTCTTGTCAGAACAAATTTGATGCAGCCAGAGTCTTCCAAACCAGTGACAGGCTTTCTGTGACACTGTATTCAGAAATATGTTCTGATTTGCTCATTAGGTATAGCAATGAAGAATAGACTTCCCCCACCCTACTCCTTTTTTTAAAAAAATATTTTTATTATTTATGTGTATGCGTGTATTGCCTGCATGTAGGTAAGTGCACCCGTGTGGTACAATGCTTGCTGAGGACAGAAGAGGCTGTCGGATCCCCTGGAACTGGAGTTACAGTCAGCTGCCATGTGGGTGCTGGGATTGAACCCGGGTCTTTTGCAAGAACAACCAGTGTTCTTAACCACCGAGCCATCTCTCCAGCCCCCCTACTCCTTTTTTTTAACTATAAAAAATGTTTAATGGGCTGGCAAGATGGCTCAGCACTTAGATATGTTTGCCCCAAGGCCTTACAACCTCAGTTGAATCCCCTCGGCCCACACATGTGCACTATGGCATGTGTGCACCCTCTGCCACATACAATAAAATAAATAAATAAATATAAAAATTTGTTAAATGTTTACATATATAACCCTAATTGTTCTTATATTATATATATATAGGTTAAAAACACAAAAGGTAGAAACTAAAAAGGAATTAATTTTGTTCATTATTTATTGAGTAAAGTGCATTATTCTAGGCAACTAGGACACAGTGGTAAACAGAAAATCCTCTGTGTTTACCTTTGTGGGGCAGATAGCAACAGAAGATTATAATAGGAAGTGAAAGTCAGTGAAGCAGAGCCAGATGCAGAGATTGGCATACTAGCCTGCCATAGGTGTGGGGCGGTGTCCAGACATGTTTCTGAGGAATTGCCATTTGAACAGAGATCAGAATGAAGAAAGAGTAAGATGTAAGAGTATTTGAGAAGAACTCGGTTCATGGAAGGCAGGCACAAAGGTCCTGAGATGAGACTCTTTTTGCCAAGACTGAAGAAAGTGACATCAGGAGCCAGGCAGAGAAATAGAAGGCATGTTGGGGAGACCCCAGGAACTAGGTCATGGCAGACCTCACAGCCATGCTTGGGATTTGAGTTTTCTTTTAAAGGTGACCAAGAGTCATTAAATGGTTTAAAATAAAGCAAGGGGAGATCTGATTTCATTTTCAAGTTCTTCAGCTTCTGAGACAAAAAGAAGCCAAACAAAAAGGAGCCAACAGAATTGTTCAAGCCAGACAAATGTTAGGATAGTGGTAACAGAGATGCTTAAAAGTGTTTGGGTGATCTGAGTGTGGTGGCTTACGGTTCTAACCCCAACACTCTGGATGCAGAAGCAGGAGGATCTCAAGTTTGAGGCCAGCTAGCAAGACCTTGTCTCAAAAGAAAAAAAAAAGTTTTGGTTGGATTCACAATATTTTAATATTTTAGAAGGAAAAAAGCTTTTGTTCTTATATTTGATATTGAGCATGAAAGAGGTGACTTCTAGACTTTTGACCTGTAACAAGATGATAATTGGTAATACCTACTGATCCAAAGAAGCCATCATAACTGACAATGCATTGGAAAACTGAACATCTAAAATGCTAGTAATTTTATTTTATTTTTAATTTATTGTTTTTAGTTTTTGTATATGAGTGTATTACCTGCATGTATGTAAGTGCACCCATGTTATCCATTGCCTTTGGAGGTCAGAAGAGGACATCAGATCCCCTGGAACTGGAAATAGGAATGGTTGTTAGCCACCATGTGGGTGCTGGGAATTGAACCCAGGTCCTCTGCAAGAGTAGTCAGTGCTCTTAACTCCTGAGCCATCTGTCCAGCCCAATGCTAGTAATTTTAAAATTGAAAACAAAAAGGTGTTTTGTATTGCAATTAAATAAATGTGTATTTAAAATGTTTATTTTAAATATCTCATTCTTTTTGAAAATTATTATTTTGGTCTTTTTTTTTTTTTTGGTCTTTTTTGAGACAGGGTCTTCCTGTGGCCCCAGCTGTCCTGCAACTCACTATGTAGACCAGGCTCGCCTTGAATTCACAGAGCCGCCTGCCTCTGCCTCCCAAGTGCTGGTTATTTTGGTCTTTTTGAAATAGGGTTTCCTATATCCCTAGCTGACTTGGTACTCACTATGCAGACCAGACTGGCCTTGATCTTATAGAGATCCACCTGCCTCTGCCTCCGAAGTGCTGGGATTAAAGGCGTGCGCCACCACTCCTGGCTTATTTTTTTTATTTTATGTGCATGAATGTTTTGCCTGCATGTATGGAAGTGCACCCCATATGTGCAGTGTTGGTGGAGGCCAGAAGAGGATGAAAGATCCCCTGGAAATGGAGTTATAGACAGTTGTTAGCGGCCGCATAGGTGCAAGAGCAGCCAGTGCTCTTAACCACTGAGCCATCTCTCCAGCCATAATTCAGCTCATAGCTTAGGTTCTATCTATTTAAGTCCATTGCTGTAATCACTGAAACATTCCCTCAGCCAATTCCCTCGTCCTTCTTTCCTCAGTACTCTGGAAAAACCCCAACCCGGTTAGTCTAGCTCTTCACCTGGTAATGGGCATCTCTGTGCCAACAGGTCTCACATCAAATATGTAGTGACACTCATCTTATACTCTGCACCCCAGAAGCTCTGCATTTCCTTTGGCTGTTCTCTTCTACTCTGAAGCAACAGTTTTCCAATTTTTTGCTTTATACTCTGAGAGTTTCTTCTCATTCCATTTACTCTTACCTGATAAATTTCCTTCCTTCCCTCCCTCCCTCCCTCCCTCCTCCAGCCCTTTATGTCTTTTGAAAGGGTCTCTTGCTGTGCAAGCCAGGCTGGCCCCAGACTTTGCATTCTCCCTGCCTCAGTGTCCTAAGTGCCAAGTTTGTAGGTGTGTACCTTTTTTTCCCTATGAAACTAGAAACTGCCAGGACAGAATTTCTTTGTGTTTGTACTACCAGATCTGTCTGTATACTTACCTGCCTCCATGTACCCTGTCTTTATTTCTTGTCACAAGGAGAAAAACTGTTCCTATTGGGCATGACATTTGAAGGCTTTATGTTTATAATTGCATTTTTTTCTTTTTCTTTTTTTCTTAAAATTTTATTATTTTTATTTTATGTGTATGCATGTATTGTCTACATGTAGGTAAGTGAGTGCACCCATGTTGTGCAATGCCCAAGGAGGTCAGAAGAGGCTGTCCGATCCCCTGGAACTGGAGTTACAGACAGCTACCATGTGGGTGCTGTGATTTGAACCTGGGTCTTCTGCAAGAACAACCAGTGTTCTTAACCGCTGAGCCATCCCTCCAGCCCCTGCATTTTTCCTTTTTTTAAAAAATATTTTTATTTTATGAGTGTATCGCCTGCTTGTATGTAAGCACTGGTGTCATGCAGTGCCCATGGAGGTCAGAAGAGGGCATTGGATTCCCTGGAACTGGAGTTACAGAAGGTGCTGTTAACTGTTCAGCTTTCTCTCCAACACCTATGTTCTTATCTTTATTGGATCACTTACCAATTTTTCATCTTCTTTGGATTCTTTTTTTTAAGATTTTATTTCATATTATGTGCATATGTGCATGAACACATACGTACAGGTGCCAGTGGAAGCCAGAAGAAGGCGTTGGATTCTCTGGAGCTAGAGTTACAAGTGATTTTGAGGCACTAGACTTGGGTGCTGGGAAATCCTCTGCCAGAGCAGTATGTGTTTGTAACTACTGACCACTTCTCTAGCCCCTGTTGGATTATTTCTGACAGCACTTAACTAACAATGTCACCCATCTTTAAAAGTTCCCTAATTTCATGTATCCTTCTAACTATTCCATTTTTGTGTGTCTTTTTTTGTTTTCTTTTCTTTTGTTTTTGCTGTTTTTTGAGACAGGGTCTCCCTGTAACCCCAGCTAGCCTGGAACTCATTATGTAGACCAGGCTGACCTCAAACTCAGAGGTCCACCTGCCTCTGCCCCTGCCTCCCAAGTGCAGAGCCATCTCTTCAGCACGTTTTTTTTTGGAGACAGTGTCTTTCTGTAGCCACAGCTGGCCTGAAACTTGCTATATAGACCAGGCTGACCTCAGTCTCACAAGCTCTGTCAGCCTCTGCCTCTCAAGTGCTGGGATTAAAGGTGTACCACCACACCTGGCTGAAACATTTAGAACATTTTTATTTTAATTCCTTGAGTTTGAGCAAAAGTAATTTGGAAGGTCTACTATCATGTAAGCATAGAAAATTATTTTAACATTAAACAACCTTAAACCTTCTCTTCCTATTTTTGTTTGTTTGTTTTGTATTTGAGACAGAGTCTCTCTGTAGCCCCAGCTGGACTGGAACTCGCTTTGTAGACCAGGCTGGCCTTGAACTCACAGAGATCCGCCTGCCTCTGCCTCCTGAGTGCTGGTATTAAAGGCATGTGCCACCATGCCCACATCTCTTCCTATTTAAAACAAAATTTGGTTTGTTAATAGTGATAACTAGCTGTTAGCTTGCACGTCCGGCCCTGCTAATCAGGAAGTCTAATCATTTCTGCCTTTAAAAAAATTATTTTATGTGTACGAGTGTATTACCTGCATGTATATTAAGTGCACTCATGTCATGTAATGCCCACGGAGGTCAGAAGAGGGCATCGGATCCCCTGGAACTGGAGTTACAGATGGTTATTAGCTGCCATGTGGGTGCTGGGAAGCAAACCCAGGTCCTTTACAAGGGTAGCCAGTACTCTTAACTGCTGAGCCATCTCTCCAGCCCCCATTTCTGCCTTTTAGTATATCTCATCTTTAGTGTACTCTGCCTCTTCCTTTGTTTAGTCCTTATGCTTTCTTACTGCATCCAGGTTTGTTTTCTAATACTGTGTGGAGGGTGTGCTGTCTATGCTACACATCTTAAACCACTGTTTAAAATCTTCCAGAAGAGCTCAGTAATGTAGTAAAGATAAAGCTCAAACTCAGTCTGGCTCTCACGATCGTGCTTCATCTGGCCTCGGCATTCAGTTCTAGACTCCCCCCTTGCTGCTTCCTGCTGGGCCAGCTTGTGCGTTGCAGCTGTACCTGTTTCCTCTTCTTATACCTGTACATATGCTTTTGTTGTTTTTCTTTTTTCCTGCAAATCCTTGTTCTTTTGGATCCATCTCACATGAATTATTTCTTTTATAAAATTTTTAATTTTGTTTTGAATTAGAGACAAGCATGCATGCCCCTGAGTCCATTGTGCCTTGTGTGTGTGTGTGTGTGTGTGTGTGTAGGTCAGAGGACAAACCAAAGGAGTCCGTTCTCTCCTACCATGTGTGATATGGGTCTCTGGGACCAAACTCATGTCATTGGGCTTGGTGTCAGGTGGCTTTACTTGCTGGGCTATCTAGCCAGCCCAACATTTGGTTTTTTGATAACCAAGACTGTATCTCCAAGAATAAAATGTCATTTGGCTCATGTAATTTGTGCATGCATGCATGTATGCTATTGTGTCTGTGTCTGTGTGTGTGTTCCTGTGTGAATACAGGCACTTGTGTACTACAGTGCACATGTGGTCAGAGGACAACCTTAGGATCTTGTTAACGGTCTCTTGGTGTTTACCATGGCATGTACCTGCTACTTGGCCTACACACCTCCAGGGGTTCTCCTCTTACCTTCCATTTTGCCATAGGCGTACCAGAATTATAGATAGGAGTTATGGATTACAGATATACAGTGTCATGTCAGACTTTTTACATGGGTTCCGGAGATCTGAACTTAGATCCTCATGCATCTGTGGCAAGTGTTTTCTTCACCAAGCCATCTCCCAGCCCTAAATGGCATATGGTTCAGTTAAACTTGTCAAGAGTAACGTATTGGATTTCTTTTTTCCCCAGTATCGATTTTATGGAGAACCTATAGTAAAAGCATGTATTGAAAATGGAACAAGCTACATTGACATCTGTGGGGAGCCTCAGGTATGTAGAACAAAAAGAAGACTGAACTAAGCTCAGATGACTTTTCTGAAGTGAAGTGGAAGCATATTAAGCTCCATTTTATAGAGACATTGAAGTTGACTCTGTCCTGAATTTAGAGAGGGTGCTTTTGTGGTGGTGTGTTTACAGCTTGAAGGAGAGCCCTGAGGGATAAGGTCTTAGCTTCAGTTTTCTTAAAATGCTGCTTCTACATGTATTCAGTTATTCCCTTTGTATATGGAGTGTGCTGATTTTTGTAGTTACTGAAGGGTGTGAGTTGAATGTAGTATGTTGTGGGTAATTCTCAAACTCTTTGTCTTAGTAACTTTTTCATTATGAATTCCCTTTTAAAAATTGGTCCCTTTAAACATTACAGAAAAATAAAATAAACATAAAATCCCCTCAACGTGGGCTGGGGATATAGCTGAATTGGTAGAATGTTTGCTTAGCATGCATAAAACCCTGGGTTTGATTCACAGCACTGCATAAACTAGGCATGGTGGCATGTGCCTATAATCCCATAACTCCAGAGGTAGAGGCAGGAGGATCAGAAATTCAAGGTTATCCTTGACTATATGAGACCCTCTCTCAAAACAAAATAAAAGTCTCTCAACTTAAAAATTTTAAATGAGGGATTGGGTGGTTAATTCAGTGGTAGACCATGTTCTTAGTATGTGTGAAGCCTTGGGTTCAATCCCAGCACCCCTCTCCAAATACATATGAATAAAAATAAATTTAAATGGTTACATTTATTTAGTGCTTGTCACATACCAAACATTGTGCTAAGCAACTTATATAAGTATTCGAAAACGTATCTGTAGTTATCTTCTTCCGTTTTATAGATGAAGAAATAAAAGCTTTAGGAGGTTAAGTCATTTGTTCAGAGTCACACACCTAGTAAACGGAACTAGGACTTCTGGTTTGTGTCACTATGGAAGTCCTGTGCTAACTGGCACTCACCTTCCCTTCACCTTCTCTGTGGTCTCTACTGATTATTATCACCAGTAAGCCAGTATAATCCATGCTTAGAGATTATCGATTGTTAATATATATTGGGAAATACTAGGAAAGTGTAAATGGCCAAAATTGATAAAGAGGAGGAAGGAAACATGTTTTTTAAAAAAACCAATTCCTATGTTTCAGAGAATAGAATGTTATGAAAAACTTATCTTGTAAATTATCTTGTAAGCTACCACAAAAAGTATGAAAGCCTAAGAGGTCTGCACTTTGTCCCTGCCTATCCAGAACTCACTTCACCCGAGTCTTGCTCCTGGTTGCTTATTTACCTTGGTGCAAAACAAGACCAGAGTAAGGATTACCCTGACATTCCTAACTGCCCTTCAGTACTCTTCTGTGACTGTGATGTGTTTAGTGAGACTTTGCATTTGGGAATAAAGTATGTGCAGAGATAGAGCATGCATAGGTCCCTGGGTTCTGTTTCCAAGACCTTGAGAAAAGACCAAAACGAAAAAAAAAAAAACAAAACATGTAGCCTCCCCCAAGTCCCAACAGAGATCCAGAATACATACACAACTAGTTTTTTAAATTATTTTTTAAATTTTTATGTGTATGAGTGTATTGCCTACACGGATGTAAGTGCACCCATGCCATGCAATGCCTGTGGAGGTCAGAAGAGGGCATCAGATTCCCCTGGAACTGGAGTTATGGACAGCTGTTATCTGCCATGTGAGACTTGAACCCTGGGCCTCTGCAAGAGCAGCCAGTGCTCTTACCCACTGAACCATCTCTTCAGCCCCCATAGACAACTATTATATATCAGTAATGGAAATACAAATAACCCAATTTGAAAATAGTAATAAGAAGAGATAGAAGATGGGGTCAGGAATTTAGCTCTGTGGTAGGCAAGCAGAGCTCCCTGGGTTCAGTCCCCAGCATAAAAAAGGAAAAAAGCCAGATATGGTAGCTCACACCTTTAATCCCAGCATTTGGAAGGCAGAGGCAGGCAGATCTCTATGAGTTCAAGTAAAGATAAAAAAAAAAAAAAAAGAGGAAGGGGGCTGGAGAGCTAGCTCAGTGCCTAAGAGCACCGGCTGCTCCTGCAGAGGACCTGGGTTCAGTTCCTATCACCCACATGACAGCTAACAACCAGTAACTCTAGTTCCAGGGAATCTGATACCCTTTTCTGACCTCTGTGGGCACTTTGCCACACAGGTGCAATACACTCATACACATAAAATAAAATAATAAAAATTTTGTTTTGAAAAAGAAGGAATCAATCAAAAATCCAAATAATGTAGATAGCTGTCCTGCCCTCAGGAAGAATAAATGACTTTATAGGGGAGAAGCCAGGCAAAGCATTACCTCAGCCAGATGTCCAAGGTCAGCATTAGCATTAGTAAGCCAAGCTGACAGGATGGCTCAATGGGTAATGGTTCTTGCCTTGCAAGCCTGGTAAATTGAATTTGATCCCTGGAACCTATATAAAGATGGAAGAAGAGAAGTGACTCCACAGAGCTATCCTCTGAGTCCCATATGCATGTTGCAGCATGTCTTTCTCTCCCCCTGCCGCATCAGGCACATAAACAATAAAAAATAAACTATTTAAAATTACTAAATCAGGTTGATAGGCTAATACCTTCTTCCCAAGGAAGTAACCCCAGTTTAATCTTGAGGAAAACACTAGATAAATTGTAGTAATTACAAAATAGCTCTCAGGAGGCAGAGGCAGGTAGATATCTGTGAGTTCAAGGCTAGCCTGGTCTACATAGTGAGTTCCAGGCCAACTGGGACTACGGGGAGACCCTGTCTCAAAAAGAGAGAGAGAGAAAAAAGGCTGATCTATGCTGCTCAAAACTATCAAGTCAAAATTAAGGAAAGTATGAAAAACAGTCATTACTAAAAGGAGTCTAAGGAGACAGGACAGCTAGATGTGATGATGTGTTCAGGATAGGATCTTGGAGTAGAAAAAGGTCATTGGGAAAATCTACAGAAATCCAAATTAAGAATGGACCTTAAGCCAGGCCTGTAATCTCAGCTACTCAGGAAGCTGAGGCAGGAATTTTTCAAAAAGTGCAAGGCCTGTTTGAGCTACAGAGTGAGTTCAAGACTAACCTGGACAACTTGTGAAACCCTGTGCCCAAATGCACAGTAAAGCAAGGACTGGGGATACAGCTTCAGTGATAGACAACTTGCTTAGTGTGTTTGAGGCCCTAGGTTCTATCCCCAGTATTGGCGCTTCAAAAGAGAAGGGGGATTTAATTACTAATAATTTATCAGTGTCAGTTCATTAATTGTAACAAAAGCCTGTGCAGAAGGCATTATTAATGGGAGACACTGGGTTTTAATTACATGGGAACCCTAATACTCTTTTGTCTATAAATCTAAAACACGAAATTTGATTTAGCTGAGAATATGGCTTAGTTGTACAGTTCTTGCCTAAACTTGTACAAGGCCCTGTGTTCATCTGAGCATTTTTTAAAAAAGTTTTTAGGGGCTTTGGAGAGATGGCTCAGCAGTTAAGAACATTTGCTGTTCTGAAGAGGACATTTCCTACACCTACATGGTGGTAACAACTATCCATAACTCCAGTTTCAGGGAGTCTGACACCCTCTTCTGGCCTCTGCAGGCATTGCATGCACGTGGTGCTGTTACATACATGGAGGCAAAACACTCATACACATAAAATAAAAATAATAAATAAAATATTTTTTAAAAAGTATTTAGAAACAGGGAAAGGATTTGAACAGCCATTTCTTTGTCTCGTCTGTCATTTCCTTCCCACACCCTATGTATAGATACATGTCTGTAAGGCTCATCTGGCTAATGCAATCTGGGCTAATATTTTTGATGTTTTTTTTTTCTTTAATTTGTATAACAGGTATAACTTTCATAGTTAAAACTCATTCTGAAATCATAGTCTCTGAGTTGGACGAGCTCATGGTCTGTACTACCTGTCACATGTGGCATACAGTTAGTATTTTCCAAATAAGAAAACATTTTGACATTATTTTGCTACAGAGCTAAATTGGTTAGCATTTTCAGTTTAATTGCATTGTTTTTAAGAAAAGTCATTTAGTATTGTTCTGGGTGTTTCTATAAACTCTGATTCAAATTTTTGTCCTGGATTTTTTAGTTTCTGGAGCTAATGCAGGCAAAGTATCATGAGAAAGCTGCAGAAAAAGGGGTTTATATCATTGGAAGCAGTGGCTTTGACTCCATTCCAGCAGACCTGGGAGTGATCTATACCAGAAATAAAATGAACGGTAATTACTGATCAATAAGCAGTGTGTGAATTTCACAACAGAAGAGCTTCATGTTTGTAATTGTGATTATTAGATACTCTACCATTGAGCCACATCTTCACCCTGTGATGTTTTATTTTAGCAGACTTATTTTAAGTATTTTTTTTTTTGCTTTGTTGTGCTGGGAACTGAACTTAGAGCCTCTCACATACTAGGCAAGTGCTCTACCACTGAGCTGTATTTCCAGCCCTAGTTTTAAGTATTTTTTAAGCCATCACGAAGAGTGTTTTTTTTTGGAGAACTGTGTGATGAACCTTCCAGGATGAGTAAGTTAAGCTATTGTCTTACTGGAGAAGATTCTTAGCATTGATAGTTTAAATACTACAGAAGAGTTTGTCAATACACTACCAGTTAGAGTTTATGATAAACTCTTCTTTCTGACAGTTCACCTGGCCTTAACTGTTTTGTAATCTGTGTATGATAACATAAAACTGTCTGCACAAATTTTCTCTTTTATTTCAGCTGTAGTCTTAACAAAAGTGTCCCCCTTATTAGGAATAGTTCATTATATTGTCCTCACTGAATAATTTAGGTTTTATTTGATTTTTGCCATTCTCCTGTTCTTTTAGGTACTTTGACTGCTGTGGAAAGTTTCCTGACTATTCATTCAGGACCTGAGGTTAGTTTTCTGTGTAGGTGCTTTTTCAAGTTAATACTAAAAATATTTTGAAAGTGGTGCATGAGACTCTTGAAAAAGATTTAGAATAAAATGCACATGTATTTCTAATTTGGTGTAAGAGTCACTATATTTAATTTCAGAAAGGATGATCCTCCTGGCTCTGCTTTCAAGTGCTGGGATTGCAGGTGTACATCACCTGCTCTAGATTTTAGAATAGTTCACATTTGGGATACTTAACTGGTGAAGCCTATGCAAATGTTCCAAAGTTGGAAATATAAATCTGAAACACTTCTGGCCCCAGAAATTTCAGATAAAGGGTATTTGACCTGTATTATAACAAAGACACAAAGATAGGGCCAATGCAGAGATGCCAAAATAAGTTGACTTCATAATTTGATTATCTCAGGTATTTCATTATAGTGATGGAAAACTGACTAACATGTACCTATAACCAATGTAATCCTTTCTGGAAGATTATACTAGTGTTATTTTTAAATTATTTTTGTGTATGACCAGTTTGCATGTATGTAAGGAAGATTATATTATTTTAAAAATGCATTAGGGCTGGAGAGATGGCTCAGCACCCGCATGGTGGCTAATAACTGTCTAACTCTGGTTCCAGGGAATCTGTTGCCTCCTTCTGGCCTCTACAGGTATTGCACTTATCTGGTGTACTTACATACATGCAGGTAAAACACTCATACATATAATAAAAATAAATAAAAAACAAAAATAAAATTTAAAAATGTATTGATGACCATCAAGTTTAAAAAATAACTTACTGGGCTGGAGAGATGGCTCAGCAGTTAAGAACACTGGTTGTTCTTGCAGAAGACCCACATGGCAACTAACAACTATCCCTAACTCCAGTCCCAGGAGATCCGACAGCCTCTTCTGACCTCCGCGGGCATTGCACAACATGGGTGCACTGACCTACATTCAGGCAACACACGCATACACATAAAATGGAAAAAAGAAAAGAAAGAAAAAAAACCTAGTATACCTAGTATATTCAAGACCAGCCTGGCTTGCATGAGACTATCTCAAAAAAAAAAACCCCAAAAACACCCAAATGGGTTGGAGAGATGACTCAGTGGTTAAGAACACTTGCTGCTCTTACAGAAGACCTGAATTTGGTTCTCAGCACTCACATCCAGCACTGCTCACAACTGCCTATTACTAGTTCCAGGGGATATGACACCCTGTTCTGGCCTTACCTGCAGACATGTGGCACACACGCACACATACACACAAAGTAAACAAAAATAAAAACATACCTTAGCCAGGTGTGGTGATGCTCACCTTTGCTTCCAGCACTCAGGAAGCAGAGGCAGGTGGATCTTTATGAAATAACAGCCAGCCTAGTTTATGTAGTAAGTTTCATGCTAGCTGGTGTTACAAGAGGACCCTGACTCAAAAAGAAAGGGAAAGGAAAGGAAAAAAAAAAACCAACAACAATAACAAAAAACTATAAAACAAATGAAACAAAAGAATTAAAGGAAAGAAGTTAAAATATAAACCACATTATTAGCTAAGTATGGTGGCCATGCCTTGAATCCCAGCATTTGGGAGGTAGAAGCAGGTGGATCTCTGTGAGATCAAGGCCAGCCTGATCTGTATAGCCAGTTATAGGCTAGCTGGGGCTACATAGTGAGACCCAGTCTCAGAACGTTAAAAAAAAAATCACTATTGAACTTCAATTTTTTTTAAGAATAAAGTGAGAAAACAAAAACTTGGGGTTAAAATAAGAGGTATTGGAAATTGATGAGAAACCAGGTGTAACAGTGGATACAGGAACAGTATATGTTGTGTATGCTTTACAAATGTGCACATGAATGTATCTTGAATTTTTAAGAAATCAGCATAGAATGGGTATAAAATTAGAGTAGTTGCTTTTGAAGGAGAATGAGTTGAGTTAAAATGATAAAATGAAGGTAATTTTATAGAGAGCATGAATAAGTAGGGAAAGAAAGGGCTTGTGTTGGTAAATGCTGAATATAATCAAGCTAGTGACTACTGCCTAGTTGGTCATGAAACTTCATCTCAAGATTATTAAATAAGGGATTATGCTTGCTCAAGACAAGGTGAAGTATTCATAATAATTTTATGTTACTTGGTTTTATCTTTCAGCAATTATCCTTAAGATATGTTTCTTTAATTCCTGAAATGTTTTCTTAGGGGTTGTGTATTCATGATGGTACCTGGAAGTCAGCAATTTGTGGTTTTGGAGATAAGAGTAGTTTGAGAAAACTACGAAGTGCATCATGTCTGAAACCTGTCCCAATTGTTGGTTCAAAGTTGAAAAGAAGGTACATCAATTCAAAATCTATTCTTTAGTAATTTCTAGTCTGTGTATATTGCTATTGGTTGGATGTTAATTGTGCCATTTTGAAAAACTTGGAGACTTTTGTGATAAGTTCAGGAGTATTTTCAAAGATAAAGTTAATTAGCATACTTGTCTAAGCTGAAATACTTTATATACTACACATATGTAATGCTTTCAGAAGTGACTTTTCTGATGACATCTCACTGTCAATATCAAAATTAAATTTCAGTTAAGTTTTATGCTATAAAAAACTAGGATCTTGGCTGGGTGTGGTGGTGTATGCTTTTAATCCCAGCACTCGGGAGGTAGAGGCAGGCAGATCTCTGTGAGTTTGAGGCCAGCCTGGTCTCCATAGTGAATCCAGGACAGCTGGGGCTACAGGGAGACCCTGTCTTGAAAAGACCAAACAAAACAAAAAAACAAAAAACTAGCATCTTAAAATGGGATCATCTTAACATATACTAATGAATCAACGTGAGTATCACTTATATGTGAGAACTTTAGCAGATAGGCATTAAAGCTGGCCACTGAATGGTCTTTAATGTTTAGGGAAGTTGTAGGAAAACGGTTGAGTTATGCAGGTGTGGGTAGCATGTTTGCATTTGCTGCTTGTTTGGGTGTAGTTGTGAGGAACAAAGGAAGAACTACCAGACAAATCTTTAATTAAAAGCACATCTTACAGTTTTATTAATTACTCTAAGAAAAATTTCTTGGCTGGGTGTGGTGATGCATGCCTTTAATCCCAGCACTTGGGAGGCAGAGGCAGGCGGATCTCTGTGAGTTCAAGGCCAGCCTGTTCTACACAGTGAGTTCCAGGCCAGCTGGGGTTTATTGGAAGATGACAAAAAAAAGAGACAAAAAAATTTTTTTGATTTTTTTTTTTTTAATTCAAAAATTTATTGCCATGCACAATGATGTGTGCCTTTAATCCTAGCACTCAGGAGGCAGAGGCAGACATATCTCTGTGAGACTCAGGCCAGCCTGGTCTCATAGGGCATTCCAGGCCAGCTGGGGCTACAAAGGGAGACCCTGTCCAAGAAAAACAAAACAAAAAATACAAGCTGAAGTTGTGATCACTGGAGTAACTGAAAAAAATGCAAAATCTCTATGACTGTCTTGTAGGTGGCCAGTTTCTTATTGTAGAGAACTCAGCACATATTCCATTCCTTTCTTGGGATCTGATACATCTGTTGTGAAGCGGACTCAGCGTTACTTACATGAAAACTTAGAGGAATCACCAGTAAGGAAACACGTCTTATTTATTAATAAAGTATAATCCTGTGTTTATTTTATTTTATTTTAAAATACTATTTTTATGTGTATGAGTGATTTTCCTACATGTATGTAAGTGTACCACATGCATGTGGTGCCCACAGAGGCCAGAAGAGGGGGCCATATCCCCTGGAACTGGAGTTATGAACAGTTATTAGCTGCCATATGGGTGCTGGGACTTGAACCCTGATCCTCTGGAAGAACATCAAGTGTTCTTAACTACTAAGCCATCTCTCCATCCCCCACCTGTGTTTGTTCTAGCATCCCAGCATATTTAATATAAAATTAAATATAATATAATATGCATCCCAGCATATTTTGTGTGCTTATAAATCAGAAAATCATAAAAAATAATGCATATATGATTAGATAAGGGACATGATAATCGTCTTGCCCAATAATTAAACCTGGCCTACTGCCTATGTTCTAGTGTAATACAGTACCAACAAATTCAGTTCTAATGTAAGCACCCAGCCATCTTCTCTTAGTGTTTGAGCTGCTAGAACTCTTCCTATAATGGTTTTTGGAAAGGTCTTTGACCTCCTGCCCTTGGCTCTCCTTTCTATCTCTGGAACACCAGCAGACTCCTTTTGGTGAAGGAAGTGGTTTCTCCCACTGCTAAAGACCTCAAGAAGAAAGTATCTCAAGTTGAAGGTGGAGGACAAGCTAGTTATGGTGGCTCATGCCTGTAATCCCAGCATGCAAAAGGCTGAGGCAGGGAATATTATGAGTTCAAGGCCAGTCTAGACTATGTAGTAAGTTTCATTCCAGCCTGGGTTACAGAATGAGACCCTGCATCAAAAACAACAAAACAAACAAACAAAAAACCAAACAGATGAATGGTGGAGAGTATATTTTCTCTTAGAAGGAGCAATAATGTCTTGTGGCTAGACTCCGATATATTGTAGATTATGTGACTTTGTGCTCAAATAGAGGAAGGTAATTACCATTTTTAGTAATTCCTTTAAAATGGAAACTACTGGGACTGGAGTCGTGGTTCAGTGGTTAAGAGTACTGACTGCTCTTGTAGAGGACCTGGGTTCAGTCCCCAGCACCCACATGGCAGCTAACAACCATCTGTAACTCCAGTTCCAGGGGACTCTATCGCCCTTTTCCGACCTCCATGACCATTGTATAACACAGGTACACTTAAATCCATACAGGCAAAACACATAAAATTAAAAGTAAATTTTTTTCCTGGGTGTGGTGTTCCACGTCTTTAATTCTAGCCCTCGGGTAGAGGCAGGCAGATCTCTTTGAGATCAAGACCAGCCTGTTCCACGTAGAGACTTCCAGGCAGGCTGGGACTAAGGAGACCCTGTCAAAATTAAATTAAAAATAAATAATTTTTTTTAAAAAAATGGAAACTGCCTTGTTCTATGTTTGTGACATAAAGCAGCCACCATTCTTCATATGGGAATAATATTCTGACTTTATATCATCAATCCAGGTTCAGTATGCTGCTTATGTAACTGTGGGAGGCATCACTTCAGTTATTAAGCTGATGTTTGCGGGACTTTTCTTTTTAGTCTTTGTGAAGTTTAGCATTGGAAGGCAACTTCTTGTAAAAGTAAGTAAGATATTTTATGAAATAAGATTTTTAGAAATATTATGAAGTTTTGAAAATATCACTGAAGGTTTGTTTATTTTTCCTTTAGTTCCCATGGCTCTTTTCCTTTGGTTATTTTTCAAAACAAGGTCCGACACAAAAACAGGTAATACTTTATGTCCAGATCTCCAAAATAATATATTTTTTAAACTTTATTTGTTCATTTGTGTGTGTGTGTGTATGTGTGTACACATGTGTGCGCTTATACATGTGGATGTGCCTGTACCACAGCACACATGTGGAGGTCAGAGGACAACTTGCAGGAGTTGGTTCTTTCCTTCCCCCATGTGGGTCCCGGGGATCAAACTCAGGTCATCAGGCTTGGTGCAAATGCCTTCACCTGCTTGCTCCGTCATCTTACTGGCCCCCAAATAGTGTGTACTTTTGGCCTCCATGCAGTGACAGTAACAACTAAGTCTTGGGTCACTTCTAGTGTTCAGGTACTCTCATTCCTTACATAAATCTTTCATATTCCCATTGAAAGTAGGTATTATTACTATTATTCCATTTTGCAGATTTGGAAACTAAGGTAAGAGAAGCTAAGAAACTTGCCCATGCTCACTTATCCCATAGATAGTAAGTGGCCAGGTTGTATTGAGAACCCAGCCATCTAGCTCCAGACATTGTTTTTTCTTTACTTAAGACATCAAATATTTTGGAGCTGGAGAGATGGCTCAGCGGTTAAGAGCACTGACTGCTCTTGTAGAGGACCCAGATTCGATTCCCAGCACCCACATGACAGCTGCAAACTGCCCTTAACCCCAGATCCAGGGGAATCTGTAGCCCTCTTCTGACCTCCGCAGCATTGCATGACATGGGTGCACTCATACATGCAGGCAATATACTTGTACACATAAAATAAAAATAAAATATTGAAAAATATTTAAAAAGGACGGTTTGTAGTTGCCATGTGGGTGCTGGGAATCGAATCTGGGTCCTCTACAAGAGCAGTCAGTGCTCTTAACCCCTGAGCCATCTCTCCAGCACCTATGATAAATATTTTTTTAAAAAAGACATCAGATATTTTTGCTCCTCAGCTTTTCTTTTATCTCTTTGTATTTGCCTCCCTTTTCCCCCAAGTTTCACTTCCTCTCCCATACAACCTGGATTTCTATAGCAGATAAAGTCAATTGCTGTGTGTCTAGTCATATCCCCAACGACATGACTGTCTCTTTGACTATAAATCTAGTCCCAAGTTAGACCTTGAGTCACTGAGTCTTCATCTTTACACCAGGCACTTCTGAGAGTTCCCTGCTGAGCACCACAGTTGTTCCATCCCTTCCCCTCCCTTACCAGTGGACTTGTAGCATCTCCTGCTCATCCTGTTACTTTTCATTAGTCATGCCTCTGTCTTGTAGCTGCTGTTTCAGAACTTTACCTATCTGCAGACCTTTTCCCTGTCTGCAAACAGTTCCTCCTTTTACATCCCTGAAAGAATTGAGAGCATCTTTTGTGTTCCCCTTGAAGTCCTCCCTGAGACCTGCCATCATTTTCCTCATTGTCATCATCTTTGCTATTTCGGGATGAAGTACTGTCCAGTGCAAGGCTGATCTCCCCTACTGTGCTCTGAACAATTTAAGCATTGACTGTATTGTAGTATCGCAGCCGCTCGACGGTGTGTTTTAATCTGAGGCCTCCAGCAGCCATTGAGGTAAAGGTATTGTTGTCATTGAGGGTGTTATTTGTGTAAGTTCACATAGCTAGAATGTAGTGAATCCTAAATTCAAATTAGCCTGAGTCTTAGCCATGACTACTGCTTTTGATCAGTTTTCCTCCTGGCCCCATCTGATGATTCTTTTTCTCTCTAGATTTTACCTCCTACCTCTCCATAAGTTCTTTCTCTTCTTTCCTAACCTCAGATTCCTTCACCCTTCATGATTCTCTTGCTAGAATCATTCTAGTTTTTTTCCCAAATCCATCAGGTGTTCTTTGGTCCAGGCCCAATCTCTTTTTCTTCTAATTGTAAAATGCACAAAACAAAATTTATCATGTTTGTCATTTTTTAAAAATGTTTAAGATTTAATTTATGTGTATCAGTGTTTTTGGCCTGCTAGGAGAAAGGACTTTTGGGAAGGAAAAGCACACTATCTCATTAAAGAGATATTATTCCTCCTATCTCTTTAGCATGGCTCAAGGCGAACCTGCCTTCCTGCTCCCTTCACAAGGTGATTGACTGGCCCAATTGAATTGTTTTATGTTTTGGGTAGCAAATAGCTTTCCTTAATAGACCTCCACTAAGCCCTGATCAAGGATACTATAACACTTAGCATCCTGGCACATGAAAAACAGGTTAGCAGGACCATGAGTTCAAGTTCAACTTGGGCAACAAAGCAAGACCCTGTCTCCAAAAAAAAGGGGGCTGGAGAAGAGGACTCAGTGGTTAAGAGTACTAGCTACTCTTGGAGAGGATCTGGGGTTGGTTCCTAACACCCACATGGAGGCTAATAGCCATCCTTAACTCAAGTTCCAGGGGATCTGACATCCTCTTCTGACCTCCACAAGCATCACAGGACAACGGTGCACTTACATACTTGCAGGTGGTACATTCATACACATAGAATAAAAACAATTTTTTTTTAAAGAATACACCACCGGGCATGGTGGCACATGTCTTTAATCCCAGCACTCGGGAGGCAGAGGCAGGTGGATCTCCGAGTTCAAGGCCAACCTGGTCTACATAGTGAGTTCCAAGACAGCTGAGGCTACAGGGACACCCTGTCTCAAAAAGACCCCCCCCCAAAAAAAAAGAAGACTACATTTCAAAATCCTACCCTCTGTCTCAGAAATTTAATAATGCTATCTTCTGAACTTTTCTTGAATTTGTTAGATTTGTTAAATTTTTATATCTCCTTCCCTTAGTATGTTGTAAGCTTTAAAAAAGACAAGGGCCAGGGTTGGAGAGATGGTTCAGCGTTTGAGAACACTGGTTGTTCTTGCAGAAGACCTGGGTTTGAATCCCAGCATCCACATGGCAGCTAACAACTGTCTGTAACTCCAGTCCCAGGGGATCCGACAGCCTCAGCCTCTTCTGACCTCTGTGGGCATTGCACGACACGGGTGCACTTACTTACATCCAGGCAATACACACATAACACATAAAATAAAAATAATAAATAAAAATTTAAAAAACAAGGCCCTGTTGTAGTTACATCTTAGAACCTAGCATAGTATCTTGACCCTTAGTTAATAAAACTTTTGTTAATCATGACTAAATTATTTTTCACTTTATTCATAGATTTAATGATTGTAAAGATGCTAAAATAGGTCTTTTAGAATGTAACTGAGTTGAATGTTTACATCTTTTAAGCAGTTCATGTCTAGTTGCTTGTTCTTTTTGGCTTGTCACTTAGATATTTACAACCAGATATCCATGCTGTCCCTCTCCCATGAAAATTACCACCAGCTTTTTTCCTTCACTTTTAATGGTTCTGTTGTTTTTATACCACAACATAAGAATCAACTTGCTCTTTTTTTAAAAAAAAAATTAGTATTTTTTATTTTATGCATATACATGTTTTGCTTGCATGTTTGTAGGTGTACCATGTGTGTGCGATGGCTGTAGAGGCCAGAAAAGGGTGTTGGATCCCCTAGAACTGGAGTTCACACACATAAAATAAAAATAAAAATTTTTAAAAAACCCGACTTCCCTACAGGCCCACCACCTCAGGGCAGACTAGCAACCTCCCAGAGGGTATTTAAATCTCCATACCAAATTGCCAGGTGGCATCCCCCCAACACCATCACACCACCCATGATGCGTGACACGATGGTCTTGCACGACCACCAGGTGTTCCTTGCTGAACCATTGTTAGGGAAAGAGGAATTTACTGCTTGTTTGAATTTACTGCTTGTAACCAATTAACTCAACTGGAGACACAGGCATCCGGAGATAGGGGCAAAGTGCTACAGTCCCCAGAGCCTGACCTGTTTTGTGTCATGTCATGTCTGCTTACACAAGATAACAAGAAAGAGTCGTACCAGGCTCCCCGATTGAGACACCTGAAGGGAGTTGTAACATTTTTCTTGTTTTGAAGTTATTGGTTTGTGAAATGCTTGCTTTGAAACTATTGGTTGTATAAGCGCAGGCTTTTGTGTAATGGTTATGGGAGCCTATATAATCTTTACCTGAAATTGCCTCGGGGTCAATCGCTCCAACCAGACCTGCGTGTCTTGGAAGGACGGGTCGGCCCCAGCTAGCTGGCCTAATAAAACTCTGCTTGATTTTTGCATCTCCATACTCGTGCATTTGTTCTCCTAAAGAGACCCACCGAGTCACGGACCCTAACACCATCTCTCCAGCTCCATCTTTCTCTTTTATTAAATTGCATTTTTATTTCTTTTTTTTTAAAATATTTTATGTGTATGAGTGTATTACCTGCATGTATGCAAATGCAACCGTGCCATGCAAGGCAGAAGAGGGCTTCGGATCCCCTGATGCTGAAGTTACAGACAGTTGTTAGCTGCCATGTGGGTGTTGGGATTTGAACCTGGGTCCTCTGCAAGAACAGCCAGTGTTCTTAACTGCTGAGCCATCTCTCCAGCCCTGCGTTTTTATTTCTTTGTGTGTGTGTGTCTGTGTGTGTGTGTCTGTGTGTGTATGTGTATGTGCATGTGAGTGCAGGTACCTCTGGAGGCCAGAATAGAGCACTGAATCCCCTGGACCTGAAGTTATAGGTGGTTGTGAACCGACTGATATGGGTGCTGGGAATTGAACTTCAGGCCTCTGGAGGAGCAGCAAATGCTCTTAACCACTGAGCCATCTTTCTAGCCCCTTATTTTCCCTTATCCCTGTTTCTTATCACCTCCCTCCCCTTCACACAGTCTTAGATTATAGTTTCAAAGAAGTAACTTGCCCCATCTTAAAAAATGAGAGATACCATAGTAGGTGATATACTGACGTTTTTATCTATTGAAAGTGTCTCGTGAAGTATGGTAGTAAGGTTTCTTGTGTTCTAAAAGAAAAGGACATATTTATTAAACACACCCTTTGCCTTGTTTCACAGATGGATGGCACATCATTTACAATGACATTCTTCGGTCAAGGATACAGCCAGGGCTTTAGTACTGATAAGAACAAACCAAATATCAAAATTTGTACTCAAGTGAAGGGGCCAGGTATGTTGCATATGACTTAAGGGTGCTTGAGGTTTTTACATTGTCTTAAACTAATAAGTGATATACTGATATACTGGTACATATTACAATATTTTTTTAATCTAAACAATGATAACATTTATTCTGTCATTCCATTTCTCTTCCCTTTACTTATTTTTTAATATTTTATTTTTTTAGAAGAAGCATTTCATTACAGCTTTAACATACTCAATAACAGTTTTCAGAGCAACAATACATCTCTTTCAAAAGTGGTAATAAAATTTTTAGGTTTGCTGTTGAATTAATACAGTTATATAGTATTGAACTCAGTATAAGCCCTGTAAGACATAAAATTGAATGAGTTTTTAATCTTTAAGAAAGATCTCCATTTAATTTTAAAGTATACTGTTTATTACAGAAAGACTCATTGTTTTTGCTAATAACACTGAAATTGGTGCATGCATCTCTAATCTGTATGTATCTGATTATTATTAGTCATAATCAGTTGCACTCGGATCCTTGGCACCTGTGTATGTCTATAAAGTCATCGGGTAGATTTCAATGGTAATGTTTATCATCTCTATTAATTAACATGACAAATTTCCATGCTTCCTCCTCAAATATAAATCATTTTTTTAATTTGTTGATTTGTGTGTGTGTGTGTGTGTATCACACAGAACATCCCAAGCGTTATTCAACTATACACCCACTTCCCAGATGGCACCCTCCCATAGCCTCCCTCGCCCCGCTAGAGCCCTTATATTCTGTTGTTACTGCTTCCACTGTGTTGTTGGCACCCCCAGCCATTCCCCACTACTTGTCCATCTGGTGAATCTAGTCTAGTCAGCCTATCTAGAGGTCTTTGTTTTAGGAAGATCAGCTGTTCCTCATATAGCAGCAGTCAGTTGTCAATATTCCTTTAGATAAGATTGGGGTCTGATGTTCATTTTCCCAATTCCATGCTGGGTTACTATCTGGGAGTCCCTTTGGCCACCCTGGCCAACAACTCAAAAGAAGGTAT